TCTTTGTATTCCTCTTCTCTAGTTTCTATTTCATTTATCGTCTCCTCCACCATATCCAACCTGCTTTTAATACCCTCCATCATGCTCTTCAACGATTGGACCTCCAACCTGAATTCATTCCTGAGTTCTTGGATGTCTTTCCATACCTCCATTAGCATGTTGATGATTTTTATTTTGAACTCCCTTTCAGGAAGAGTCACGAGGTCCATATCATTTACATCTTTCTCGGGAGTTGTATTAATAATTTTACTCTGGACAAGGTTCCTTTAGCGTTTCATGTTTGTATATGGCGCCCTCTAGTGTCCAGAAGCTGTATTCTGGATCTGCTCAGCCCCTGAAGCAATGTCAGGGTTGCAGGGGAGCAGTACTGATGCCTGGGGGGAGGAAAGAGCTGTTCCCTGCCTCCTGGCTGCTGTGCCTGTCTCCACTGCCTGAACCAGTGGGCCGAGCACACAGATATAAACTTTTATCCCAGAGCAGCCAGATATGGATCCCTGCTTTCCACAAGTGGCCAGAATCCCAGTCTCCCCAGGAACTCCACCTGTCCCAGCTTTCCAACCCCATAATCAGAAGAATATGATGAAAGTACCATGAAATGTAGGTTTGTGCTACCAGAGCAGATCTCCTGAACTAGATATTCAGCAGTCCCAAGCCTTCCACTCCCTCCCTGCTCCGCTTCTCTTCCTCCTGCCAGTGAGCTGGGGTGGGGGAGGGGCTCAGGTCCCGCAGAGCCACAGCTTTGGTACATTACCCGGTTAGGTGATGTCTGCTCTTTTCTCCAGGTGTATGCAGTCTGGCGCCATCCTCTTTACTGTTGCTCTCTCTGGATTAGTTGCTCCAACTATATTTTCTAATTGTATCCAGTTTTAGGAGGAAGCCACTGTTTCTCCTCTCATGCCGCCATCTTTAATCCACTTCCTGATTTTCCTTTTAACTGGGAATATAGAAAAGACGATCTGAATACTAGGTGTCCAAACTCTCTTAATTATTTTTTTCCCCACCACATCCATAGCATTCTTTTTTTTAACTCTGATTGTTCTGCTCAACTTATTAATTACAATTCTTTTGGAGACTCCTTACACTCATTCTAGTAATATTATTTCCTTAGGTAGCATCAATTATTGCATTTGTTGAATTTGGTCATGGAGATAGTTTTCTTTAAGTGTTTAGTAATTCTTGTGTGTGTGCTTGCATTTGTATTTGGGAATCCCTATTTGCTTTTCTGTGAAACAGAGTTTCTGTTTTCTGTATCCCACTGCTAGTGAATGTGAAGGAAAGTAAGAAGTGCAAACAGTGAAGTCTGTCAGCAAGTCAGTTCCCCTGTATGTGGAGGCATTATCCTGCCTCTCTAGACCAAATCCCCTTATCTCAGTGCAAGGGTGAACACCTCTGGTGCCTGATTAGATCAAATGGGGATGAAAACACACAAAAGGTCAGTCATTCCCCTGCTACTCATATCTACGTCCTTTAAACTTAGGGTGCCTCAAGGCTGCTCTCAAATTTCCCAGTGATCTTCTTCTCTATCTTTCTAGTCCTATAATTCCTTCAATCAAATCCTATTACCTTACATTTTTCAAACACCCTCGAAATTTCTGACTGCTAAAGGCTGTCTTTGTGATTGCCAGCAATCTTATGTTTATATTAAAATACACACACATATGCACACACACAACCTTTTCTGTCATTTCTAGAGACATTGGTAATGAGGGTATGTAGATGCCTGTTCTCAGTCCACTATCTTCATCCTGCATTTTTAAAAAATGAAAACATAAAGGAGGCTAGAAATATGAAATGGGAAGAAATTTATTTAAATGTACATGTGTGATAGACTCTCTTCACTGTCTACTGAGCAGACATTCTCCACCTTTTTGTCTGCCAAGTGAACCTCAGTTTTGTAGCAGATGAAAATCACTTGAATCACTTGATCAGAGAACTTGGCCTGAACCCTGACATGAAGGAATAAATTAAGATTGTTCAAAGCTAATCATAGAAATCCCTTTTCCCTTTATCAGCTATTGGTCTAGGGGTGGGCATGTAACCTAATTACATGTGATATATGTAAAAGAAAGTCATTGGAACAAGGAGTTTGGGATATTCTCTTCTTGAATAATGAAATAGAACCTCAAGAGGAAAAAGTCCCTTTGTCCTCAATCCTTTTTTCCTGTTAAGAAGTGATGCCTGGAGCTACAATAACTGTCTTATGATCCTGAGGTTTGAACACAAAATATGAATAAAGAACAATAGAAATAGACCAGGTATGTAATGAAAATGCTGAGCTGCTGAATGACTTCTGATTAGGTCAACAATAAATGTCCTGATGGTTAAAATTAGTATTGTCTGACTTTCTGTTACTTTCTGGTATATTTGAGCACACCACATAAATGGATATAAAAAATCTTTTCTAATAATACTCTGTAGTAGCAGATTAAAATCTACTTCAAATATATTTCTTACATTTCACTTTTTTCCCCTCAGAATTAAACCTGGAGGAGCAGCCAAAAATCCCTGTTTGTTTAATAAAGGACTCTAATGTTGGAATCTCAAAGAACATTGTGGTTAGAAAACCTGCAAAAGTGATTTTTGATTTAGATCAAACTGTACTGGATTCAAAGCTGGAACAACCATGGAAGAAAAATCTTTTTGAAAGAGTGGAGGCAAAAGCCCGGGCAATGCAGCAAAAAATAATAGATAAGGATAACCTGATGAAAGAATTAGAAAAAAAGGCTGAAAAACAACTCCCTAAGGATAATTTGGCCAAAGAGTGGTTTAATACTGAGCATATGACACTGAACACACGTGCATATTTGCTTGACAAACTTCTGCCCACCTTAGTTCCTGGAGTGGAAAAAATGTTAATGCAAGTGGAAAAGAAGAAGCTTTTGGCAGAAGTTGATATTCCAACCAAGTTTGATCCCATCAATTATTTGGGGGAATACTTAATGAGAAACAATCCTTATTATATCAAAGACTCAGAAATGTCTGGCTATCAGAGGGTGATGAGAGATGTCACAGAAGAGCTGAAGATACACATTCCCAACACTCTCTCTAACAGGTACAATTTGTTATATTTCCAGTTGGCATATTTTTTAGCTCCTTACATTGAAAAACAAGTAGAAAAATAACACAAGCATACAAACAAGGCTTAAAACAAGAAATTTTACAATTATTCAAAAAGCATTTTTTGAGCTTCACTGTTTACAAGGCACTGTGAAGACTAGTGAAGTATATTAAGTAAATCCCTGTATTCATGGATTTAGGTATCTCACTAGGACCCTATGTATATATTTATTTGTTTATTATATGCCTCCCTGCACTCAAAAGTATAAGAGTAGGGAGTTGGAAAAAATATAGCTTTTCAGATAGGCATTATACTCACCTGGTCAAAGCCAAAATGTAAAGATTTATACAGCGAAAAGTTTCTCTCCCATTCTTTTCCTTCATCTTCACAGTACTCCACTTCTGCCATAAATAACTATAATTCTTAATTTTCAATGGCTCCTTTCAGAGTTTCTTTATGTACACAAGCAAATGCAAACATGGATTCTTAATTTTTTTCCTTTTATACAAAAGCAGGTGAATGAGTTACAAATATTTTCCTCTGTTTTGACCTGCCATTTTATCTTTTGTGATGCAGAAGACTTTTTTATTTCTATGTGGTCGAATTTATTTACTTTTATTTTATGGTTTCTGGATTTTGAGTCAATGTTACATTTCAAGGTATTAAGGTAATCCCCCACGTTTTCTTCTGTAATTGTTATTATTTTAATTTTCATTTAAAATATTGATCGATTTGGAATTTATCCTAGTGTAAGATGCAAGATATGGATCCAACTTTATCCTTTCCAAATGGCTACATAGTAATCCCAATAACAATTGCTGAATAGTCTATCTTTGCCCCAGTTTTGAGATGAAACTTCATTACTAAGTTACTGTAGATATTGGAGTATATTTCTGAATTTTCCTATCCTATTCCATTGTTCTATCTCCTTATTCATATACAAGCAACACACTGTTTTAATTATTGAGACTTTTACATATATTTCAATGTATCTGACTATACTAGTCATTATTATTTGTTCTTTTTTTTTGACCACTTTTGTCTATTCTTGTATTTACTTTTTAATACAGACTTTAGGATTGATTTATCTACTTGGAAAAAAAGCAAGAGAGAGAACACCAAAACAAACTTTATGGGAATTTTTATTGCAATCTGATTAAGTTTATTCATTAACTTAGAACAAATCAATATCTTTAATAGTGACAAGTATTTCTGTCTGAGAATGTTCATCTTTCCAGTTGCTTATCTTATTTTGTATCCATTAGTGTTGTCTTAAAGTTTTTTTATATAGTTTTGCATCTCACTAGATTTATTAGTAGTTATTTTATCATTTTTTTGCAATTGTAAGTGGGTCTTTCTTCTTCCATTACATTTTCTGTCTAGAGATCATTTGAATACATCATTTGAAAGTAGTTAATTTCTGTGTATTTTTGTAGTGTGCTACCTTATTTTTTTCTTATTGTTTGTAGTACATTTTTAGTTGATTGCTTGGGTTTTCTAGAGAGGCAACTATATTTTCTGCAAATAATAGTTTTCCTTCTTCCTTTTCAGTTTTTATACTTCTAACATCTTTCTCTTACCTATTTACCTCCAATACAATGTTAAATAATAGTGGTAATACGGGCATTTTTGTCTTGTTTATGACTTTAGTAGAAATGATTCTTGTATTACTATTCATCATAAACAGTTTTTAAAATATGTATTAGTACCATAACTCTACTCTATTTGAATCTGAAAGAGATATATTTTATCACATTAGGAAAAATGTATCAATTCCTATCTTATAGAGTGATTTTTTTAAAAATCAAGAATGATTGTTAATTTTGTCAAATGCTTTTTCAACACTCATGAAGGTTATTGTTTGATTTTTTTTACCCTACAGCCATTAATGATGAGTTTTATCAATGGATTTCCTAATTTTGAGCTATCTTGGAATTCCTGAAATAAATCCCACTCAGTTGCTACGTATTTGGCTACATTGAAATATGCTTCCTACTAGTAAGACAGAATAAATATTTAATTCTTTCCTTTTAATTACAGATTTTCAGAACACTATTTATTTTATATCCCTATCTGTCTATCTACCTACATACCTACCTATTAATAGTCACCTCTAATGGAAACAAATGAAAGATTTTTCCCCTTTTAGGGGGGATTTCTTTTTTGAGCATCATTGAAGGCACATGAATTTTAATATATAGTCAGTGTATTTTAATCCATTATAGTCATTTTTTTCTTTTTGATGCTCAACCCGAGCCAATTTTGGCTCCTATGTTCTTCTGACTTCTTCCTTTTGTCTTTGAAATCTTTGTACATTTTTTTTAAGGATTCTTAGTTCCTTTTAATGGGACTCACTCATCAGGGAGCTAAGAATGCCCATATATATTGTATTGTCATTGCTTCTAAGTTCTTTCAAGACTAACAAATATAATTTTTAGAAATAATGAGTTAATATTGACAATTTCATATCAAATATAATGTGTCAGGGTTTTTACCTGATTCCTTGAGTTTCTGTTTGTATCTTTTTTTTTCTTATGCTGAAACTCTTGGTGCCTAACATTGACAGAATTACTTATTTTCTTTCTCCCAAAATTTATATAAAATAGCTTCAAAATAATACTAACAAGCCTAATTATAGAACCACTAAATGATGTTTTGGATTTATTTACACCTTTTTTGTCCTTAAAATATATCCTACTATGCAGGTCTATGTAAAAAATACAAGGAAAAAAAGCTAGAAGAAACCAGTGATTAAGTTCCTTTTATAATAAAGAAAAACCTTTTCAACCATGACTCAACATCAGGAAAATATTGATAAATTTGATTACATAAAAATTAAAAGCTTTTTGCCTGGGAAGCTGAGTCACAACTACTGGATTCTGCTGTTGTAGTACAAAAGTACAAAAGTAACCACATGTCATTTGCAAATGAACATGGCTGTCTTCCAATAAATCTTTATTTATTGATACTGAAATTTGAATTTCATAGAATTTCCACATGCCACTAAATATTATATTTATTTGGATTTTTAAAACCTACTTTAACATGTCACAACCCATCTTAGTTTCTGAGTTGTACAAAACCAGGCAGCAGGCCAGATCTGACTGCAGGCTTTAGTTTGCTGACCCCCTGGTCTAGATAATATCTGTTAGGTCTCTTCTAGATCTAAAAAACAAATAAGCCACTTTGGATCTTTGATTTTCTTACTGAATCTCCTTCCTGAATATCTCCTGGTGTGGATACTTATACTAAACATTATAAAGGAACCTAAAATTCTTTGTGACTTGTTTTAGTGTACTTCCTATAGGATAAGGAATTAATTAGAAGCTTTAGAATAGTAATTATTTTGGAAGTAGGTGCATACATCCCTCTGGAATAAAGTAAAGGGTATGTATAGAACTCTTGTTTTATTCTGTATGTGGACATGAAATTTTTATTTTCAGTCGAAATACCCTTTCTCAGTGTATGGTTGCCTGCCAGTGACATGAGAATTACTTTGGTGCCTGTTTAAAAATGCCGATTTCTAGCTTCTTACTCAGATCTTCAAATCACAACCTCTGGTAATGCATTGAAAACAAATTCCACAGGAGGTTATTATGCACACAAAATTTCAAGACCAATCATTTAGAGAAACCAAATTAAGGGAGTTTCAGTACTAGTGAAAAGTTCCAACAGCAACTGGGAACAGTGTATTAAATTTAATAAATAGCTTAAAGAACATTTCCAATCACCATCTGTTCTTGCAGAGCAATAAATTAGATTTGTATTTAAGTCTATTTCCATAAAAAATACTTAAAATGTGAAATGGGCATCAAGGCTGTAAATCAATACATTGACAGATCCTTCCTCCTGTTAGGGATATATAAATCTCAATCAGTACATAACACACTAGGCATTTTTTAATATCTATAATAAGAATAGTAATGGGAAAACTAGGACTCTGGTCTAGATTCCATTGCTAACCAATGACACAACACAATAGGATTAATTTATTTACTGATGTTTCTTGAATTGAGAGTTTGAATATTTAGGATCATTTGAAGCTTGATAAGAGCCCTTGTTTTTATTGGAGCAATACCATTGTAAGAATTCAGGAAAAGAGTTAAAGTAATCAAAGCTGCTGTTTTTGCCTACATTGTCAAGATTAGGGCTTCATCTCTCTTTGGCAAAAATCCAAGATCATGTCAACATATGAAACTGTCAGGCATATGTAGAATATTCAGAACTCCTAGGGATGGTTTACAACAATAAAATATCTATTGACTTAAAGCCTGGATACCCAGCAATCTTAGATAGGCTTAAACAGTCCTGCATTTAAATTCTCTGACCTATATCATTCTTTGTATTGTCCTCAATCCATTAGAGAGTTTTGGAGAAGTCCATTTATTTTAGAAATGAGAGTGTTCCTTACTTATATTAAAGAAAAAAGACAAAATTTTGGTTTAGTTTGTCAAAACTTTAACTTCTGGTTTTAATGTTAAAGAATTCATTTGCCTCAGCCTAATCCAAAAGTTTTTCATCTGCTTCCCCAGACAAAAAGAGATTCACCTCTTTTTAGTGTCTAAGAACAGTAGAGAAGACATTGCTTACTAATTTATATCAGTTTTTATTGTGGCAGCCACTTATCTGAAAAATAAAATATCACTGCAGTTTGTAAAATTTACACATGAAATATACTTTTATTGCTTTTCACCAGGCTCCTGGAAAACAGGAAAAGAACTGAAGTGGGCTTTAATTCTTTCATGTAATTTTGCAAAACTGATAAGGAAGTTAGGTTTCTGTCATTTGCTTTTCTTCATATTTTCTTTTCTTTTACTATCTTTCTTTTAGTATCTTTTCTCTCTGGATCTTGATTCCTCCAGAACTGAGGAATATATGTTTTATAAGTCACTACTGCCTTATTGTGAATTGATGATGAAAAATATTTTACTCTTAAAATAGGATTACAAGTTTTCAATAGCTTTATTTTGGTGATAATTACACATATTTATACA